ACACCAAAACAACCTAAGCTGCATAACCTAACTATTCATCTTTGAAATATGATCGATCATGCAACATGAAAACATCGAATATCTTTGTCGGACACATGCAAATTAGCGATACAGTTTGTTTAGACAATAAAATTCTGTTTGTCTCTGTCTAACATATCTGAAACTTCATTAAAAATATTCCTACAAATCGCTGTCGTTAGTCTTTGCTACAGACTAAAATGATGATGTTATGGTCATCTTTCGTGATTTTGACTATAGGTTCGCTATCCTATGTATTTCTAGCATATCCATCTATACACACGTCTCTCTCGTATACATTAAACTTAATCTGTCAGACAAATTAGGTTCCAAGTGTATAACTCCTATTCGAGTATTGAACAAAATACTCAAAAACGGTTTTGTTGAGAATTAGAGGGTTTGCGGATTTTTTGAAAAACAGAGTTTATGCCAACAAACCAAATACTGTAGCGCAGCTGAAGAACAATCTTATGGAAGCGATTAAAAATATTTCTCCCGAAACCTACCAAAAAATGATGGAAAATGTAATCAAGAGGGATCAGATATGCGCGGCTTCTAGATGCGGACATCTGTCTGATATTATTTTTGATAGACGATTAACATGAAAAAGAATGGACGTATTTTATTTCATTTCACAAATCTTCAAGATACAAACCAGTCAGTCACATATCTGCCATCCTGTATAAGGCAGTATAATGCTCCAGAGATTTATAAAAAGGATCTTCAGTTTATCTAATCAAAAAAGTAGGTATTGTGTCTACCACGGACCGTAAGGTTTATGTAAATGTTAACCTAAAATTACTGCACTGTGTTCCAGTGTCGGCAGTCTACCTCTCCTGGCGGTTAAATTTTAACAAAGAACGTAATTTTGTATACACCGAAAACTGGCGAACTATACGACCGCCATGTCACGGGAGTAAAGTACAGACATTTAAACATTTTTAAGTAGTTAGTGCAACTTTTTGCTATTGGATTAATCATAATAAAACCTGCAATTGCCTTGTTTGGATTGAGGACTAGAAAGTTTACTGGCCTCAATATTCGTTACTCTATATTTTACCAAAAACGGTGTGCCAAACTCACAAATAAATTCGTTCTAATCGTATTAATATTTTGCAACTTAACGTGTACAACACTTTAAATTTCAGGCATTCAATATCAAAAACTTTTCATTTTATCTTCCACCTCTCTTTATTTGATGATGCAATCTACAAGTTATTATCACATTAATAATTAATAAATAATAATAGTGAAGACACTGTGGTGCCTGAGATGCGGCCGCTTTCCATGGAGATCCACAGATACCTCAAACCATATCCGCCGACAAATGCTAATGTAAAATAAGAAACAACAATACTCGTAGTATCATTTGCTTGTGCACCATGTCGTGCTACTACTAGTATATGAATATGATCGAGTTTGGTTGGTATGAGGTTCCGTAGATGACGCCTTTTGAGCTGTATCGTAACAAATTAAAGGTCTTAAAGTAGGATATGCCGTCGCGACCTTAAAAGGTTCTAAAGGAGGATATGCCATCGCAACCTTGGATTGGTACATTGCTACAGATTTTAGCGTCTATTTCCTTTACCCTTACCAATCACAAACGCGCAATTTTGAATCACAAATGGTTTCTAGATGGACAAATTGTATGACAGCACCCGTCAGCAGATTTTCCAAGTTTACTCGCAGCAAAATTTGACAGCTGTTGTCACCAAAAATTACAATATCTTTGATAACTTATGGTCTCATAGGACACCAGAAAACCACGTTAAACAATTTTTCTGATTTTATTGTCAATACATCTTGTAATATTGTTTTTAAACAGCGCTAGCCAGCTCATGTAGTTAAAATGCATGTATAATAGGTAGTACCTATGTTTTGTAAGCTATACAGTGCTTTTCTTTAATGTCCCGCTCTACTTTATAGTAAAATTGACAGATGAAAATGTCAAAATGTTCACTGGGCGCCATCTTGGAAAAATGTTATATGACAACGGGGTCTTGTGGTACATCATTTTGAAGCTCCTGACGAGTACTTTATAACCCAACACCTTTACCTACTACAACATGGTGGTACATTTAATAATTACCTGAATCCATTGACATTTAACTAGACAATTCGAATAAATACGTTGAGTTCAGTTTAAAAGATGCTGGAAATAATTGCCTTAAACTTCTTGACACAATAACAGCCCGTTCGTAATTTCGCATCGAACATTTTCAAACCTACTAAAATCGATATTTCTACAAATATTTGTTATTCTCAGCCGTATATCCAATAGTGAAGCAGGTTCAGTTACGTATACCTTTTATTTCAAATAGACCCATAAAAAAAAGTCAATAGGTGTCAAATCTGGCGAGCGAGCTGGCCATTCCACAGGACCTCGACTGCCAACCCAACGACCGGGATAATTGTTATCTAAATAATTCCTAACTTGTCTGTAGTAGTGTGGTGGAGCATCATCTTGCTGGAATACAGTATCAGTATGGAATTCATTAGGATTCGCTACGACGATTTCGGTGATTAGAGGGTCAATAGTATTTTCCAGCATATCCAAATACAGTTCCCCGGTTACAGTTTGTTCGATGAATATGATTTCCCAATATCCCAGCCCAAACGTTAATTTTTTGTGGATATTGAGTACGAGTTTCCCGGAAGACGTGAGAATTGGTGTCACTCCAATAATGACAATTTTGTCTATGGACATTACCGTTGAGAAAAAATGTACATTCATCACTAAAACAAATATTCTGGATATAGGTAGAATGCCGTGCAATGGTTTCCGTTATAGTCTCGCAGAATTCTGTTCTTCGATCAGGGTCATCTTCAGTCAGCTGTTGTACCATTTGAATTTTGTATGGGTGATACTGATTCCTTTTCAAAAGTCTCCATACACTAGAAGTACAAACCTCACATACATTCGCGATAGAGGAAGTAGACTGTTGGGGATTTATTATGATCTCCCCAATTATTTGAACTTGCTTTTCTTCCAGGGTGGTCGGATAACCTGGGTGCGTTTTGTTGCAAATTTAGATAAAAGTTGCCTTAAATATTTTCTAAAGATAGCACGATTCGGGATACGATCATTAAAAATCCTTTCGGTCTCGTGAAAGTTACGCGTCGCACCATAATAAAAATTGCTTCGACCTTTTATTCCAATGGCGAGAATTGACCAATTCAAAAATAGTTCAAACAGTATCTAGCACTAAAACCGAAAACTAAATAAGAATATTTTAACTGTACAATGATGTTTGTTTTCGTACTGATATTCTTGTCACTGTCAACAAAAGATAGCAAAACAAGTTTTTATCGCTGTACGGATACGGCAAGGAATTACAATTATTTGTAGAGATATGCATGTTATTGGGTTTGTGTTCAAGTAATTAGTAAATGTACCACCATTTTAAGTAGACAAGGGTATTGACTTTATATTCTAGGTTTATAAAGTACTCGTCAGGAGCTTCAAAATGATGTTTTTTTTTTTTTTTATACTCCAACTACCTCGAAGGCCTAAGGCCTAAGCACCCATTGGGTACCGTGGGGCTATGGGGGATACATGGGAAAGGGGGGACGCCACACGGACTCTGGCGAGGGAACACGTGTGCATGCAACATGCACACATTCTGGCTCCGCCTACGAGAACCGCCGGGTGGTACCTCCACGTTCGACAGTCAGAGACCATCTACCACCTACGGACAATCACAACATCCATGGCCAAGAGAAACATTTCTCCTGGGACGGGACTCGAACCCGCACAGCGCACGGCGGCTGATCAGGAGACCGAAGGCCACCGCTGCTGCCTAAAACAAACACACAACATCCATGGCGAAGGCGAGATTCGAACTCGCGGCCCGGCCGGCCGGCTGATCAGTAGCACGACACTCTGACCCACGCGGCCAACCGAGTGCCCCGTTTTCATATATTTTTTTCCAAGATGGCACCCAGCGGCCATCTTGACTTTTCATCTGTCAGATTTACTCTAAAATATGGTATCTATGCATCAATTACATTACCTCAAGTTCTAATATTTTGAATTGATCCGTTCAAAAAATCAAAGGGGAGGGGACATTTAAGAAAAGCACTGTATGTATACAGAATAATCTGTTACTCATGAAATAGTCTTGTCAAATACAATTAGGGTATCTAATTTTTTCCGGTGAAGAAAATCGAAAAACCACAATGCAAAGCAATATTTTTTAAACAAAGAACATTTGTGTTTTTTCGATTTTCTTCGGAAAAATTAGATGCCCTTATGATATTACTTATGAAAATATAAGTTTTTATAGCTGAACTTGTTGCAAGATCTTGAGAAATTTTGCAAGGCAAGCCGTTCTAGAAGGAAAAAATAGCGTCAAGTAGATTCACTCTACACTTCCCACGCAATGTCGCTATCAGTTTGTAAAAGATTATGTTCAGCACAAGTTATACAATTTCTACATAAAACACCGGCATAACATAATGTAATCAAGGAAGAAAGTGCAAATAATCAAAGATTATTTAAATAAAAATCAGGGTTATTTCAGAAAACACGCACACCGGGTAAATAAGAAACTCAAAAATGCTAAAACGCTTTCTCTTAGACACTATGAAGAATCTATTCCATTCATTTCAGCGAGAAGACGCTGATCAAAAATGTTGCAGGAAATCTCACTGCAAGCGGACCATTTTATGTAAAGCCTCTTTGGATTGATGTAAGAGAAACATGCCTTTGCCGACTTCATACTAACATGTTGCACCTTTCTCCTACTCTTTTTAAGACCAAGTTTATTCCTATGTCTGATTTGAATAAGATTATTCTAGAAAAAGTATGCGATGTACATTCATTGCCGTGTACGTCAGAAAACTACTACAAATGTCAAGTAAACTGAAGTATGATACAACAAAAAACTAGCTTCATGCGAAATATCCTCAATGGGTAAAGAAAACTGAAATTTTAGGAAAGTCGGGAATACAGCAAGGTTACGAAGAATGTGAAAGAAAACATGGAATGCAAAGTAAAAGATTTGATAGAAAAATTAGAAGAAACACCCAAAGACTTTGAAAGACACGTAAATAATATAAAAACACAATACAAAAATCATAGAGAGTGTATAGATGAAGACGAAATAGCACTTCATATAGATTTCAGTGGAAACAACAGTTGTAAGCAGCACGAAGAAATACAACTGCTTCATTTTGGTGGGTAGCGAAACCAAGTATGCTTAAGCACTAGTGTGTAATACAAACGAAGCTCGGGAAGTCAAAACATAGAGGTGGAGTCCTTTTTTACAGTGTCAAGCAACCTATCACACGGCCCTTCAGCAATTTGCAGTCATCTTCACTCGATACTTTATTCAATTTGAGAACGGTTGCCCAATATAAAAGTGATACATATATATTTTCAGACGGACCCGCGACTCAGTATCGCCAAAAACAAAATTTCTACCTAATATGCACCAAACTTCTCAAAGTACAACTTTGTTGAAGTTACTTAGATTTTTTTTTGAGGCGGGACGTGGGAAGGGGGCGGTAGACGGTATCGGTGGCTTTATCAAGCGAACTGCTGACCAATTTGTTGCGGTTGTGAAAGATATTTCTGATGCTTCTTTCTTTTATCAGCTTCTGAAAGACAGTAGCAACGTGAAGATGTACCTTATACTTGATGAACACTTTGAAAATATGGCGAGAGAAATTCCAACAGAAATAATTTCTTTATATGGTACAATGAAAGTACATCAAGTTTTGATAGAAGAAATGGGATCGCTGAAGTATGGAGAGTTGAGCTGTTTTTGGCAGCGTGGTTTCTGTTCTTGCATGTGTCCAAAAACCTATTATCCGCTTAAAGAAATGATTGAACAATCAAATTACAGTAATCCAGTACGTTAGAAGATATTACTAGTTTAATTGTTCAGAACAGGAAATCAGTTTGCAATGCTGTGTACAGTTCGCACTCGGAATCTAGTGATGACGATATTCCTTTAAACGAAATGAGAAGTAAAGCTTCAGATCAACCTGTCAAAAGAAAAAGATGATGATAACAAGTTATCTGAGAAGGACAATATTCATTCAAGTAAAATCAAAGAAGGGGTCAATGTTCTAGAAAAAAATTGCCACGTTTTTCTGCAACCGATTTTAGAATGACTCATATACCTTATATCTTAAATAGAGGATAGTTGCTGTGCTTTCGATCGTTGTCCCAGAGATCAAGCCTAAATGATGATAATGAGTTGATGTCCATGGTCTTTAATCGGACTGATGAAAGCAGCATGTTTAAGTTAGACCCTCTAAGAAAAGTGACTTACAATCATGTATAACAGAGAAATTAAACACATCAAGGATCAAGTTTGTCAAACAGGTCCGTAAAATTAATCCAAAACATTGTTTCCCTGCCTTACCAGTAGCATATATATAGTTCATCTGGCAACCACAGACTCACAGTGATGCAGGACACATACGAACACCGGAATGCCAGCCGCGGGCGTTAATCAGTAGACGCAGAGACACGTGTCGAAAACATTTTCCTATCGTTCTGCTTTGGGAGCAAGTATGATTTGTGAAATATGTCTAAAAGGTGCATAGAATGATAGGGGTTGAAACTGTATTAATATAGCATCAAAAAATTGCCATTATTAACTTTTTTATTTTGCTTAATTAAAATGTCTCATAAGTGTAACTTACTTTGACTTCAAAAGTTTAAACAGTTAGTAATTCCTCAATTAGCCTGGAAGGCACCAGAGTTTTTGAAATAAAGATGCACAAGCTGCTTACTGTTACCAAGAAGTACATTTCAAGAAGATATCTTATTGTGCAGCTCCCAGTTGACCTCCAGAAGCCCATCAGCATCCTATATTTTTCTGTAGAATAAAAATAGTTGGAGTACTAAGACTGTGGCTCAGTGCGAATGCGAGTAAAATGATAAGTTCCATTTTCTTTATGTCAAGGAAGCTCTATAAGCAAATGTATATTTTGTAAAATACATATTTCCCCACTTTGCGGTAATCGTAAAAAGGCGCACTTTCATCCTTCACGGTGTGCCATTTTGCAATCCTATTTACTTAGGTCAGAAGACTAGCAACTAGATTCTTTGCATACAAGGTGGTCTCGCTCTCAGCTGTAGTATGGAAGTTAATTGAAGGTTGTGTTTCTGGCTATTGTTGACATAACACCTGTACTCCGACATTGGGTCTAATGAGTAAAAAAAGTATTTGCTTATGCTTCCTGTTATTTGAGTATTTACTTGATACGCATTGAATGAAAAGTCAGTAACTACTTCACAAAGAAGAGTCTACTCATAGTATTAAGTAAACTCAATAAGTTTCAAGCAAATACTTGAAACATAAGACCTTACTTAGGTTTTTTCAGTACTTCTTTCTTAGTTGAATAAAAAGAAGAATAACTTAAAATCAGTAAGAATTAACTTAATGTCTGTTAAGGTATCTCGAACGCATACTTTCGTTAGAGAAGCATATATACTAAGTGACATATAAATCCGAACACCCAGTTTAAATGGTTTTATTTTAATAAAATTTTGTATGAGTACTTAATGAAGCATAATAAGTAAATTATAAAAATTTCAAAATGATTGCACTGCTTTAAAGCCCTTTGACCTTTAATAATGTGTGGATGCACCCTGATGTGCTACGCATTCTCCAACGCGCCTAGGCATGCTTCTGATCAGGTGGTCAATGTCCTCCTGTGGTATCTCATTCCAGGCAACCACCAACTCCTCTCGAAGTGCTTCTAGAGTCTGAGGAGGACGTTGCAAATTGAGCAATCTCCTACCCATCATATCCCACACGTGCTCAATTGGGGATAAGTCGGGAGATCTTGGTGGCCATGGTAACAATGTGGATATAACGCTGCGCGTTCATGTTACCTCTGATGAAGATTAAAGGTGACCTGGAACCATAAGCTATAGCACCCCAAACCATAACTCCAATAGTGTGATGAACATGTCTTTCAACAAAAAACTGTGGATTCCTGCTTTCACCACGTCGCCTTCTAACCCCGGCACGACCATCGTGCATGCCTAAACAAAATCGAGACTCGTCACTAAAGACAATACTGTTCCTTTCCTGATCCCAGAGTGACCGTTGTCTGCACCACTCAAGGCGATTACGTCAGTGTTCTCGAGTCAAAGGAAGGACCCAGTGTAGCCGGTATGAAAACAAGCCAAAACTTCTCATTCGTCGGTAAACACTTCGCATGCCAATAGGTCTTCCGTGTTCTGCAAACCATTCATTTGCAATGGAGAAACGGTCCCTTAAGGTCAATAATCTTAGGCGGCGATCTTCAGGGTCTGTTGTTCTACGGCGGCGTCCAGTGCCCCTTGCTCTTTGCGTACGGCCTTCTCGAAGTAATGCCTGACAACACCTAACCACAGTGTCTACACTTCTTTGCACTCTAACTGCAATTGCCCGAAAAGAAAGTCCAGCTTCCCGAAGTCCCACTACACGGCCCCTATCAAACTCACTAAGTTGACGAAATCGTACAGGTCTCCGTACTCTAGGCATCATAACCGATCGTAAAGGATGTCAAGAACCAAAATCCGCCAACGTTGATTCTTTATTGCGGCTGAAATATTCATTTTTAGAGCGTTAGTGAATTAAAAAAAAAGCAGTATAAATACCGGAATGTCCAACTGATAAGGCTGAAAATTTTTTCACTTGTTATTTACAGTAAGATAAATACATTCACCAACTTTTATTAAAATAAAACCATTTAAACTGGGTGTTCGGATTTATATGTCACTTAGTATAAGTTTATTCACGTAAAAATACAAATATAACTAAAAACTAACATAGGTATACGTAAATAGAGTGAATTTACCCACAGAAGAATAAATTCTTGTGCGTGAGTGAACTTACATATATACATACATACATACATATATATATATATATATATATATATATATATATATATATATATTCGTAAAAATAAACACATAAATGGATGCACATACACATATATACATACACACATACATATACACATATGCATACACCTGTACATACATACGAGTATATACATACGCACACATACGAGGATATGAACGTTGGAGGGTTTTTACTATTACGATAATTTTAAATTTATTTCATTTGAAATATTTCTTATATAATTTGGTAATCTGTTATACAATCTGCTGGAAAGGTGTTTGCTTAATGTTGTTGATTTTGTTTCTAGTTTGATATAAGTGATCTAACGGTATAAGATTATTTCTATGGTGAAATTGATCATTTATAATTTTATAAAAAAATGGTTGCCTAGGGTCTAATAGTTTTGCTTCAGAATACAACAGATTAAATGGGTATAAGAGCGGTTTGTCAAGGATTATGCTTAAAAATTGTTTTTGGATAATTTCTAATTTATTAATTTGGTTATTAAGTGCTCCACCCCAACCTAATATTGCGTAACTTATACGACTTTCGATCATAGCATCATATAAAATTTTCTTTGTTTTTTTATATCCAAATATTTGTTTAAATACTTGAATTTAAACAATAGTGGTCTCAAATTGGTTATTACATGAACAATATGTATATTCCAATTTAAATGTGAGTATAAATATACACCTTAATATTTTATTTTGTCTGTTAAGTTTATTTGTGTATCTATATTATCACAGATAATCTGTATAGATACAAAGGATGGTAATTTGTTTTTGTGATTTGTGAATGACATGAACATCGTCTTTTGAAAGTTAATAGTTAGGCATTTATGTCTGAACCAGTCTGCAATTATTGTTAAGTCCCTTTCAATCTTCACCTTTCGATCATCCCACGCGTTGTTATCCGAATAAGTGATAGCAGTATCGTCTGCAAATCATATGATTGTCCGTTCAGATTTTAAGCTCAGCAGGCTATTAATGTAAAGTGTAAATGATAATGGGCCTAACACTGTCCCTTGTGGGACACCATACGTTATCAATTTGTTTGTGCTTAAGGAATTATTTATTTGTACACACTGTGTTCTGTTGGAAAGGTAACTTTTCATGAGGTTATAAGTCTTGCATCTAATTCCTGAGTCGTGTAAGATGTCTGATACTATAGTAACATGTGGTCTACCGTGTCGAATGCTTTTGCAAGATCTAAACACAGGGTTATATTCACTTTGGTCCAGTAATTTGTATAATTTAGATGTCAAAAAAGAAATTGCGTCTTGGGTAGACTCGTTTTTCTGGAATCCAAATTGTTTTTCATCAAAA